ACTGCATGTGGCATGTGTCAGACTGTGCTTCCCTTAATTTGCTAAAAATTAAGATGTAAGAGTAATTTAAGCTCCCTTAACAAAATTTGTCCTGGAATTCGAACATTTACTAACATGACTATTTTCCTTTTCCTCAGGTGGTAAAACTTACGACAAGGACCATGTGGTGATGATGCCAGAGAACGAAGAGAGGCCAAGCCAACAGTGGGAGATAGAGCTGCTCTAATCTGCTATAAAAACCTCATGTTTCTCTTTGCTACGTTTTCCTCAGGAGTGCATCAACAGTGCCTCTCTTTACAACTCCAGAATATCCCATAAATATTCTTGGAACCACTGCCACTGATTTCTTTTTTTTAAACTCCATGATCCATGTAACTATACGAATATTGCAAATGTAAAAACGCAACTGAGCACTGAGAAGCTGCAGACTGTTTAGTGCTTTGCAGAGTTTTGTATTTTTGTTCATGAAATTATTCCATTTTCTCCAAGACAGATAAAGCTGGGTTCATCGCGACTCGCCAAGCAGGAATAAATGTATTTTCCATGATGTCCTGAACAACTGTATCCAAACCCAGCATGGACAGAACAGACCAGTAATTGAATTAATGATTAGACCTATTCAGTGTCTTTGACTTTGACCTCTGTCAGATGTTATCATTCGTCAACAATTTGAGTATTCAAACTAGAATCTCCCTGTTTGTATGATACCAGGCTCATGCAAATCCCCTGACTGTAGAAACACCTGTCGATAACGCTTTTACATCTTTGTTTACATTGGAGCAAACCTCATTTCTGGACATGATTTTCCTGGAGTGAACAGCAAGTCGCTACCAGTGCTTTATACAGATAGTGGACAAATGAAGCCAAACAAATGCGTAGTGTGCAAAAACATGTATGCTATGCTTTTTAAGGTATTTTTTTATATGTACTATATGTATCAGTTTGTTTTTGGGGAAACGTTGCACTTGTGCATGCATTTTATCACATTGCATTGTGAAGTGCAGTGAAATGGGTTGTGTGTGTTCAATTACCCCGTTTCTTGTTGTATTTTTGTTATTATTGTTACACAAAAATATGTTGTCTGCATCAGCTGTATGTTAATATTTGATACTAAAGATGTGATGTCAGATGTTATGTAAGAGGGAGTGGTTTTGAAATATTAATACAAATAAAACTTGTTACATAAAACAAAGCTGACTGATTTGTGTTTGTGAATTACAAAACATTAAAATCAAAGGGGTCACATCTATGTTCAGCTCTTTTTCTGTCTTTGTATACAGCACTGATCAGCCCTGATCACATGTTTCCTCTCTGTACTGATCAAGAAAAACTGGATGTGAGAATATCTGAGGAGCACTAAACTACTTTTGTTGATGTAATTCTGGCTTTGGCTTTAATGGACTATTTTGTTCATTCATTTACTTCAAATGTTTACCCAGGCTTTCTTCCATTCATACCTGCCTTCCCTGCATTCATCCATTCAGACTTTCATCTATTCAGTTTGCACTCGGGGTTCAAACAGACAGGGAAACTGAATTGTATTTCTATAGATAATGGCTTTCTGCAATGCACCAAGCCAACAAGAAGAGCACAGCACAAAATCAAGAACAACCACTAATGGTTTTATCAATACAGTATTACAAATAATTCACTTATTCTCACTCATTCTCAAACCCCTGGTGATACACAGAGAAATCTTCTAAATATTAACCATATGTACATTTATATACACCGATCAGCCAAAACATTAAAAGCACTGGAAGGTGAAGTGAATAACATTGATCATCTTGTTACAGTGCAGTGTTCTGCTGGGAAACCTTGGGTCCTGGAGTTCATGTAAATGCTACCTGATGTGCTCCACCCACCCGAACACCATTGCAGACCAGGTGACTCCCTCATGTCAACGGCACTTATCGATGGCAGTGCCCCCGCAGCAGGACAATGCGTCATACCACATCACAAAAACTGCTCAGGAATGACCGCAGGAATGGGAAAAGGGGCTCAAGGTGTCGACCTGGCCTCCAAATACCCCAGATTCCAACCTGATCGAACATTTCATGGACGTGCTGGTACTCCAGAGGTACCCCTGATCCAGGATGGGTCCTCCTTGGACAGGACTTGGCTCTGATCTGTTAAGGCATGAGCACAGGACCTCTGGAGAGTGTCCCTTGGTGTCTGGCACCAGGGCGTTAGCTTCAGATCTTCTGAGTCCTGTGAGTTGTGAGGTGGAGTATCAGCATGTCCCACAGATGTTTGATCAGATGGGTATATGGGGAATTTGAAGGCCAGGACAACACCTTGAGCTCCTTGTCACGTTCCTCGGGCCACTCCTGAGCAGTTTTTGTGGTGTGGCATGACACACTGTCCTGCTGGGCGGCCACTGCTACTGGGGAGTGTCGCTGCCATAATGGGGTCTGGAGGCATCCACAGGAATGTCAGAGCCCAAGGTTTCCCAACAGAACATTGTAATGTAACGACATGGTCAGTGTTGTTCATGTCATCTGTCAGTGGTTTTAATGTTTTGGCTGATCGGTGTGTGTATATATGTATAACCCTATAAAAATACGATGGTACTTACATATGGAATGAAAATACTTAAACTGTGAGTCCCTGAAATGTAATTTAAGATAAGTTTTGCCTTGCCTGTAATATTTCCTGCTAAGTTGTCACATTCATGAACATAGCATGCGCATACATTCATTTAAAAAACAATACAATCCTGGCTCAAACAGGAACTAGAAGAAGAGAAGTGCAGTTTAGGAGGAGCCATCTAGAGCAGCCCTGTTGAAACTGAAGTGGACAACAATGAACTGAGCGCAAGTACTACTGGCTACTTCAGCAGCGGCAGTGAAGTCTTCACAGCACCTGATATGGGGCTTGCCCTTGTGTTGTGAGAGAGTTGTGTGGAAGAAGTGTCAGCTTTATACTAACTCTTTGTACAGGGTTGCTGTGGCTGACAACAGTCAACAATTAATAATCTTCTAATTAAGAATAAACTTGCTTCAACTGTCCATAGCTGAACAGGTTAGGCTTATGCTACTGTATCTGAATGTCGGTCATAGTGGTGGTACTCAGAGAGCCTAATATTTTCTGAGGTGGTACGCGGTATACAACCGTAATGAATGACCAAAAGAGGAAAGATACTAATAACTGCATAACAAACAAAATGCTCATTTGAATTTAACCGTTTCATTACTTTACACTTCATGTTCTCTGACATTTCAACTGTTGTGTTTTCATCTCTCACACAAGAGAATCATGAAAAATAAATGACTTTTATTCCTCAGCTGAAATTTCAACTACGTTTACTATTAAGACATCAACTGTAATTTCAGCTGCTTTTATCTCTTACTCTTCACATGACAGTTCAACTGCTTTCAGTTGTTACACATCGACTGACACTTCAACTGCTTTTACAATATAGGGCCATGTAGTGTTTTTCTCTGGGGGAAAAGTGCTGGGAAATACCTTATAGCACCACTGAGTGCTTATTTTGATGAAGACTTCATAAACTTCATAAATAACACTACCTTAATACCATGATAGTGTCTGACTGACAGATCATAAAGCTCAGAATAGACAGTAAAGGCCTTTCTGAAAATTGCAGAGATTTTCAACTAGAAGCTCCTAGAGTGGCCGCACAAAAATAATTGGAGCACTCGGAAAGAAGACACCAGGTGCAGTGCTCTTACTCTACATACACTGTCTCCTCACGGGGGAAGAACTGAAAAAAGATGCTGGTGCTCAGAAAAAAATGCAATGTGGACACTCAGCCTTACTCTTCAACTGACAGTCCTATTGCTTTCATTGGTTACACAACAACAGACATTTCAGCTGCTTTCATCTTTTACTCTTCCAATAACACTTCATCTACTTTCAGTGGTTACACATCAGCTTACAGTTCAACTGTTTTTATCTAATACTCTTCAAATGACTGCACCTCCACTTAAAGTGACACTTCAACTTCATTCAGTGTTCAAACTGAAACTTAATTTGTATTCACATTTTCTTCTAAAACTTTTTTTATTGTGCTGTTTTTGTTTCAAATGGACAGCACATATTAGGTTAACATTAAGAGCCTGCTGTTGATCATCTTTGTTTGTATTAACCACACAGGTCTCATATTACTTTGCACTCTGCAGGTGAACAGCAGGTAGAAGTGGAGCAGCACAGAGGATCAGAGAGTTCAAAACATTTGTTTAATGGTTTCATCATGTTCAGGTATAACTTTGTTTCCTGTTAGAAATGACCTTATTAGTGTTCTACTGGATTTTTGTGAGAAGCGATTTCTTAAATTATCTGTGATGTGACTTGTGGCTGCTGAGTTTGAAAGTGAACTTGATATGTCTGTCTTTGTCTCGCTCTTTCTCAAGACCCTCTGTCCTTCTTTTGACTGAGAGAAAAGGGCAGGTCAGATCATTATCACCAGCAGCCACAAATGCAGGTGCTTTTGTTTCCTCTGTGACACAATTCAGTTTTCAGGTTTTGAAGCTGAAAGACAATCAGGTTATAACCCATGAGCACACCAGATTTTAGGAAGATCTGTTTTACTCTGGCACCACAGTTTGCCCCTCACTAACTCGCGGAGATGACTGGCATGTTGCCTGGTGGGTTTGTTTATAGGATATCTGCCCCATCTTGGAGACAAGTTGTTAAATTTCAGTGCTGTTACTTGAAATCCTCAAAACTAAAAAAAATATTCAAAGAAGGGGAAAAATTGTGTAGCCCAAGACAACAATAATTCCTCACATTTCCCACCACATCAGTCACAAAATCTAGAGCTTGTGGTCATTTTACTACAAAGGCCACCTGTAGACAAACCTGCCTGTCTGGATTCCTCTCCCGCACAGAATGTTAGTTTTTTCACAAGTGGGTTGTTGCCTTATTTCTACAGACCAATGGTGTTGACAAAGCGGTGAAGGTGCTGAGCACCGATTGGTCAGCTGTGTGATCAACAGTCAGGTGGGTGAACTGCAGCAGGTGAGACACAGTGAGGGTGTGACTGAGATGCAGGGCTGATTACAGGAGATTGTAAAAAAAAAACCCTCCTATCTACACACCGTCCTTAGCTGACACAGAGCTCGGTTACAGGTAAGAAAAGTGAGCATTCTTTAAAGATTCTGTAAGAAAATGTTCTCTCAGGTGTCTGCTCTGGCATGTCAGGTATCTTAGTCTCTCATAGATAACACTTCAAGTTTTAAACTATTTTGTTTAGATAAGTACAAGTCATGAGTAAACTTATATCATGGGATTAATTAAACAAGAACCCAAATTTGGAATAAGGGTACTTAAATTTTTCCCACTATGCAAACCACCATTTTGGATTTAATTCTATTTTTATACTGTGCTCATTTATCTTTCTATGTAATGTCATTTACTGTATATTTCTGCTTATGTTTGGACCATTGACTCCCATTCTTTCCCACAGTTAAAACAAAGCCATGGACCCTGAGTACTTCAAATCTTATGTAAGTGGACTTTTTCTTGCCCTGTTTACCAGGACTCAACATTTGCAGATAATGTAATCTACTGTCTTGTGTTCTCTGATTATCTGCATACCTTGTAACATTAGCCACTATGCCTTCAATCACGCTGGAATGCTGCACTGTGAACAAATGTCTCCAGTTGCTTTTTAATGTAAAGAAAGTTGAGTTAATAAGGAGCTGATGATCTGATCTCCTGTCAAATGTGATGTAAAAGACATAGCCAGACAAGACTGTGGCTCCTACTGAAAAATAGTCCTGCTGTCTAACTATTTCTCCAACCTTGTAATTTTCCAAGCTACCCCCACTAGTTATAATAGGAGTAAAGAATATTTGACATTCTTGACATTCAAACATGATGAAAACTGACATGTATCTTTGCTCATCTTCTGCCAGCGCCTACAGGGTATGTCCGCGTAAATCATCATCTTGTTTCTTCTGTTGTCACCTATTCTGCTTGTTACCTGTCACTCACTTATCACATTTTTTAAATATATTTTTAAACAGACAGGATCTGTGTCCAGTGTCAGGGTTTTGCGTAATCGTCTTTCAGACTTTGCAGTATGGTTTTGGCTTACCCAATTTCTTGTTTCTCACTCTCACTATTGATTATGTAGGAGATGTGTTGGGGCACCCTTGGAACGGTGCGACCATTCTCCAATTTCCACCCTGACCGTGATGCCATGGAGATCCAGGCAGCGCTGGAGAAGAAAGGTAGTAGATTCAAACTGGTTTTTAAAGCCAGAGTGGCGATATTGACAAGCAATGTTGGATTATGTACACAGTCCAACTTTTCTTTTGCCTATTAAAACTCCTCTCCCTATTGTTAAATATTGTATCATGACATGTACCTTTGCGCAGATGCGGTGACTCTGGTGAGAATCCTGACCAATAGGACCAACGCTCAGAGACAAGTGATCGCCAACACCTTTGAAGAAATTACACAAAAGGTACGGAAACAAATGTATCAAAGGTATCAAAGCCTCAGCAGCCCCTGATGTAAAATATTCCTTAAATAATCCATGTTATGCAACACAAAAGAATGTAGCGTTGCAATGACGATAAGGATGTTGCAAATGTGTGCTTGCTCATCTGTAACTCCCAAGTGTTTGCTGTTCAAATATTATTTAAACAGTCTTAAGGGATATGAACACACCTTTGTTTGGAGAGGGAGTAGCATGAGCAGTCTAAACTAAAGTACTGTCACTCACAGTGAGGTAGAGAATGAATCTGATACTGTAGGGTTATAAACTGCGAAGACATTTACTGTTTCTTAGAAGTACAAAAAACATGGCAGTTTGTCACTTTTCTTTCCCCTAGAGGTATTTCTTTTACACGTGGAGGTGATAGGATCAGTAGACACATTGTTTCACATTGACACTTGTGGTAAAACAGCCAGGGATCTCTTTTCAGCTGCTTCTTACAGACTGCCAGAGGGTCTTTGGGAAGTCTGAAAAACATAAACAGAATCTGAGTAATACTGAATAGGTTAGAACATTTTTAACATGAATGAAATAGATTAAAGTGAAATAGCTGGGAGGTAACCAGCTTACCTTTCTCACCCGTTTCAGATCTGCCTCTTTACCATCAGCTGTCCAATAAAGGTGAAAAAATCCCCAAAAGTAGGCTTGAAAAAATAAAATAACACTAGCTAAAAATCACAATTTGTCTGCGCAGCAGTTCCATTGTTTACTGACAGATAACAAGAGGCAAGACAGAACTGAGATGCACAGGATTAAGTAATTTGCACATGGCAACTACCACCCGAGTACATATTATTGCGCTTACACCGCGACCACTTGTCAAAGACAAAAAGTGATGGCAAAGTTTTCTGTTTTCAAAAATGAGGGCCCTGCCATCTCTAGGAGCAAGACACACATACTTTGTGGTGGTTTTGCATCTCTTTGTAGTTGTAATAGATTTTTTGTGGTTTTGTGTCTCTTTGTGGTCATTTGGCTCTTCGTTCAATTCATTTTGTGTCTCTTTAAGGCAATTTTGTGTCTTTTGAGGGTAATTTTGTGTCTTTTTAAGGCAATTTTGTGTCTCTTTAAGGCAATTTTGTGTCTCTTTAAGGCAATTTTGTGTCTTTTGAGGGTAATTTTGTGTCTTTTTAAGGCAATTTTGTGTCTCTTTAAGGCAATTTTGTGACTCTTTAAGGCAATTTTGTGTCTTTTGAGGGTAATTTTGTGTCTTTTTAAGGCAATTTTGTGTCTCTTTAAGGCAATTTTGTGACTCTTTAAGGCAATTTTGTGTCTTTTGGGGGTAATTTTGTGTCTTTTTAAGGCAATTTTGTGTCTCTTTAAGGCAATTTTGTGACTCTTTAAGGCAATTTTGTGTCTTTTGGGGATATTTTGTGTCTCTTTAAGGCAATTTTGTGTCTCTTTAAGGTAATTTTGTGTCTCTTGGGGGTAATTTTGTGTCCCTTTAAGGTAATGTGTCTTTTGGGGGTCATTTTGTGTCTCTATAAGGTAATGTGTCTTTTGGGGGTCATTTTGTGTCTCTTTAAGGTCATTTTGTGTCTTTTGGGGGTCATTTCGAGTTGCTTCTGGTCAGTATTTGTCCATTTGAGAGATATTTTGCAGGTAGAGGCCAGGAGGCCCCTGACACTTCACATCCATACGTGGTGGTGAATGCACTTTAATGATGTGTTACTATGTATAAAGCTATCTAGCAGTATTTAAGAAATATAATCATTAGCCCCACCTTTAGTAGCTTTTATGCTTACACATTAATGCATCACACTCATGTACTTTTACTTAACAAGATTTTGTATATAGGGCTTTTACTTGTAAGTTGTAACAGAGGGTTTTTGTTTTGTTTTTAAAAGAAATTGTGGTATTGTATAGTATAATTCCCTTTCAAGCTGCCAACATAAGACCTACAGTAACTCAGAGATTTTCTTCTAATCTGCTGCATTGAAAGTCAACAGAGGAAACCAGAGACAATGTCTAAGATATGTGAAAACATCCATGTTTACTCTGATGTTGTGGCAGGACCTGGCAGTTGGTCTGAAGAAAGCTCTGTCTGGAGATCTGGAGAATCTGCTGCTGGAACTGCTGATGCCTCCTCTGCAGCATGAAGCTTACCGCCTGCAACAGGCCATGGTGGTGAGTAGGTGTTTGTGTTTTTGTATAAATATTTTTGGGTGCCTTAGGGTTAGTGTTTTTAGGAGGAGGCAAAGATTTTCCTAGGATATATATACAGTATGTGGTGTGTGTGTGTGTGCAGGGTTTAGGCTCAGATGAGGAAACACTACTGGAGATCCTGTGTACGCGATCTGGAAAGCAGCTTCGAGAAATCAGTGCTGCATACAGACAATGTAAGTAACACTACTTTCCTTTCCAGCAAATGTTTTGGCTGGTTCTTGTGGATATTCAAACCCATAATCCATCATCTCTGGTGTCCTAATATTTGTTATATTGTTTGTTTGCCTCCATTTTCAGTGTATAAAAAGGACCTGGAGAATGAACTGATAGGAGAAACCAGTGGAGACTTTGCTAAGCTTGTTGTGGCTTTGTTGAATGTAATTTGATCATTTATTTTCTTTGCCATCACCTTTAACCTCATAATTATCAGCCTTAATACTGTTAGAGACAATCAGTTAAGCTTCAGTAGTGGGCATTGATTGATAGTTTCCTCTGAAACATTAGAGAATACTGATCACTTTTTATGTTTGCTATTATGAGATTATTTAATTTAAACATGACCTTGAAATTGCAGTGTCTCGCTCCTTTTTCCCAATAGAAAGAAGATGTTGCTTGTGGAGTTCGAAGAGATATTGAGGTATTATTCTCCATGATACTCTTATACACAAACATTGTGGTCTAGGCGATGTAAGGGACAGCTTTCAGTATTTTATTTTAAAGGAGATGTATGTGACATTGTAATTCGAGTTTCTTTGTTCTTTGTTGTGGTAGATGGTCCAGCCATACGTGCTTGTTAGTGCATGTAAGTCCGATGGAGGTTAGTGCTGATAATGTCGTCCCTACCCAAGTTACCGTACAGTTACCCTCCGGGTCCCTCCCCACGTTAACACCTTTAGCTCTGTCAGCACTATTGCTGTTGTTATAATTGAAGTATCATGAATAGAGAGGTGATCGTGCACTGAAATAAATTGTTAGCTGCGTCTGTTTTGACAAAACAAAATCAAACCTACAGCTTTTAGAAGACAAACAATGGGGATTGGTGATTGGTCATTAGATGCACACATTCACAGCTCATTCACATGTCAGTCTGGCTGATGATTGGTCGACTGAATGTGCTGCTGCTCTGTCCCGCCCACTGAAGATAGTCACTCCAGAGAGCTGTATTAGTGTACATTTGCTGAGAAATACTGCCAGCTCCTTTAAGGAGAGGAGTTATAGTCTATTCAAGAAGTTGGTAGACATGTTGCTAGCCACTTTTTTTTTTTTTTTTTAAAAAGGCACTAAAGGGGTTTCAGAAGCGCCATATCTAGCAAAAAAAGTTGCTAAATTGTTAGCACTGAACACAGTCCTGACCCTGATCCCGGTTCCCCCCCAGGTTACCTTTGTCCCCATTGTTAGCACTGTTGTCATTGTTAGCGTAGTTAGCTACTAGCCGATTTAGACAGCTCCATGTTGAGAGCCATGTGTAGACAATCCCGGCTCTGACTCTGAATCATAGATATGCTCTAAATGTCGCATACAGCTCCTTTAATATGATGAAGCAGACATACTGTTCCAAATCATGGTAAACCTTGTAAAAAGGGTTGTTCCTGCACAGGAAAATATGACATCTAAAATGAATTTGCCAGAGCATTAATCATTTTGGTTGGCAGTGTATGAAAATCAGACATACCACTAAACTACCAAAGAATAAATTAGGCTATTTCCTTGTAATCCAGCAGCCCTTGTGTAGAGCGTAGTGGTTGTAAGCCATACATTTCTGAGATCTGTGACTTTTTTTATTGTTTTTATTCTTCCAGGCTCTCTACGCATCACTGAACGGGAAAAAAGCAGAAGCAAAACCGTGGATTGACATACTGACCTCCAGAGACTCAGACCATCTCAAGAAAGGTGAGCCTGTCATATATTTTTCTGACATACAGTCGTTCTTGCACATTTGTCTCTGTGTGTTAGAATGTCTTTATAGTTTTAATATGCAAAGATTTATTCCTCTGACCTTGTATGTTACTGTATGTTGACAGTACTGATGGGACTGGAGCTGGAGAGTGGACAGATGGTGGATCAGACTGTGGAGAAAAGGTTTTCAGGAGACTTTCGACTGGGTTTGAAAGTTTTAGGTAAATATTGTATGAAATGCTGCATGAGTGATAGGTATGGACTGTCCATGTTGATTAGTCACTAATATTTCTGTATGTCCTGACAGTACAGTGCATTGAAAACCCGTATGCCTACCTTGCCAAAAGACTAGCTGACACAAAGGTAAGAAGATGCTGTCATCAACTGTCTTTTATTTTAGTGATTTATGTTAGCTGAAAAATTATCAAACTGCTGTTACTGACTGATGGATGGATGAAGTGACATGAGAAATGCTGCACTTCCTACCATGAAAAATCACCAATAGAAGCTTTTAAACACAACCAGACAAGTTCCAGCAATATTATGATCCGAAATCGGGGAGAATTTGACAACATCGGCAACCAAAAATACACGTTTCCCTGACGTTAGCATGTAGCTATACGTAGCAATGTACTTGCAGCCAGAGAATGACTGCCTATAGCAGCACTGTCTCCTGTAAAAAATCACCAGTGAAAGCCTTAAAAAACAACTGGACATGTTTCAGCAAGAATATGGTCTAAAATATGATCTGACGTCTGCAACCAAGGTTACATGTTTCCCTGATATTAGCATGTAGCTATACGTAGCAATGTACTTGCAGCCAGAGAATGACTGCGTATAGCAGCACTGTTTCCTGTAAAATATCACCAGTGAAAGCCTAAAAAAAACAGCTGGACATGTTTCAGCAAGAATATGATCAAATATGATCTGCAACCAAGGTTACATGTTTCCCTGGCGTTAGCATGTCGCAGTTTAGGCTACGCAATGTAAAAACTTGCAGTAGTGTGCCTGGACGAGATGACAATGTAAATAAATCTGTCCTTACCTGAAGTTATCTTGTAGCCAAAGTCCAAAAAATATCTTTTACATAAGTTTGCCCTATTATTTGAAACTTTTCAAATATATAAAACCACATTTTATATAAACATCGGGCATTATAACATTGTATATGAGACAGAATATAAGAAAGAGTATAAAATGTCCTGATTACGTTTTAATATGTCTAACACATAAACCACTTACTTGTAATTAAGGGAAATTGAACTTTATTTTATCTTGTTAAAGATATCCTTTTTCAATTCACAGTAATAAAAATATTCATTAAGACATATGATGATACCAGACGTTATTGTTGTCTGATATACAGTATGTATTTTAACAGCTACTTTAAGGTTTCTTGTGTCGGCTATAAACCGTGCTGATAGCCTTCATATTTTCCTTTGCCTTTTGCCTCTGCCAAGACCGTAAAAACAGCTAATTTCTAGTTTACAGATATGCAAAAATGACCAATAGTAAAAGGGTTTTTCCCCGTTAAAGGGCTTTTTGGGGGAGTTTTTCCTTATCTGCTGTGAGGGTCCAAAGGACAGAGGGATGTCGTATGCTGTAAAGCCCTCTGAGGCAAATTGTGATTTGTGATATTGGGCTTTATTTAAATAAAACTGTATTGAATTGAAGTCCGCTGAAGGCAATCCTGTGTGTAATATAATGAACATTTCACACGTATAGAAAATATCCTCATGTCAGAGATTGTAACAGTTCATGCACAAAACATTTCACTCTTTCAGACATCAATAATGCAGGGGATCATGGTGTCTCACTCTGAGGATGATCTGCTGTGTATCCGAGCTGCCTACCTCAAGTTAACAGGCACTTCCCTCTACACTGCTCTACAGGTGGGTCACACACATACATAATACTGTGCTATGTATAGCACCTTGAAATACATGCACAAGCTTTTATGCACTTTTATGATGGTATGTTTTTTATGTTATTATTTTAAGGGCATTTTGACATGTGAACTTTAATTTTTCCCAACAGAAACAGTTCAAAGGAAACCATCTACAGGCTCTGCTGGCCATCTGTCGATCTGAAGATTAAACAACGTCTACACATTTTGACTAGCTACACTTCCTATTCATTTATATAGTTCCTTTTCTCTCCTGAATCACTCTGTGTATGGTAATGTAAAAATGAACTTGGTACTTATGACGTTCTATGGGATGTAATTTGATTGAATGCCGTGCCTGTGTTTTAATGACTTATTCAAATACACGCAACTAAATGTGACAAAACAAGTTTGATACTTTATGAGTGCGGTTTGGTTATTTGTTTTTATTACTTTATGTATCTGCCACAGTACTTCCTCTTCATGCTGATGTAACAGACAGTGTTTTTTTTTTCAAATAGTGTTTATAAATAAAGAATGACACTCTTTTTTTTCCTTTTTTGTTAATGTTATAATTTTAGTTTAATATATGAGTATGTGTGTATACAGACAGCGCAACAATCACAGTTCAAACTAACTCACTAAACACTGAAATAGAGAGTTCTGCCACACATATATTAGTAGCTTTATTCGTCACATCACTTCCTTATTTACAAGTTATTCCTGATGCCAGTAGAGGAAGTCTGTATTTACAGTAATTACAAATTTGAGATACCTTTATATTAAACTCATGTCACTTTCTACTTTTTCTACTTCTAATCTACTACACTTCACAAGAAAATATTGTCCTCTTAACACCACTACAGTTATCTGGTAACTCTCCACTTTACATATTAAGATTTTTTTCTGCACAAACCATATAAAACAAACCACAAATGCAGCTATGACAATTAGTTGCTTAAGTGGAAAATCAATTAAAATCTATTTTGTCATTTTTCATGCAAAAACATTTTATGGTACTTTCATTTTCATACTTAAATACATTTTCCTGATTCAACTTACATACTTTTACGTGAGTGACATTTTTAATGCAGGACTTAAGTACTTAAGTAATACTTCCTCTGAGTTCAGATCTACATGACAAGATTATACTAATCTGCAAACTGAACAAATACCTCAAATTCATTCATATACATAATTACAATAATTTAAGAACAATCTGGAATATACATACTGTACTGTACACAGATTTTATTCCATCCTTCAGTTCTTTCTTTGGATTAAAGTTAGTCCAACTCCACCTACATTTATTTCCAGAAACATTAGCACATTAAGGAACAAGAGTCTTAATCCTTTAGGCGAGTTTTTCAGCTCTTCAGCAGAGTGTGTAGAGCATCAATGGCACAACAGAAAACAGCAGAGAAGCTTTAAAGCTTGAGCCTCCGTTGTGTGTGGTGGTTGTTGTTGTCAAGGTGGTTGTACTTGTGGTGGTGGTCAGGTTGATCGTAGGAGTCGCAGTAATATGTGAGCTGGTGGTGTTCGCAGATGTGGTTGTTGTGGCTGGGGAAGTGGTTGTAGTCTTCGGTGGAGGGGTGGTCATATCACTCGTGTTGGTTGGGGCAACAGCTGTAGATTTGGTCGGGGCGACAGTTGTAGAGGCGGTTGGAGCAACACTTGTAGGAGTGGTTGGGGCCACAGTTGTAGACGTGGTCGGGGCAACAGTCGTAGACGTGGTTGACGCCAAAGTTGTAGACGTGGTCGGAGCAACAGTCATAGACGTGGTTGGGGCAACAGTCGTAGACGTGGTTGGGGCCACAGTTGTAGACGTGGTTGGGGCAACAGTCGTAGACGTGGTTGGGGCAACAGTCGTAGACGTGGTTGGGGCCACAGTTGTAGACGTGGTCGGGGCAACAGTTGTAGACGTGGTTAGGGCCTCAGTTGTAGACGTGGTTGGGGCCACAGTCGTAGACGTGGCTGGGGCCACAGTTGTAGACATGGTTGGGGTGACAGCTGTAGCAGACGCAGTAGTGGCGGTTGAGGCGACGGCGGTAGTTGTGGCCTGGATGGGAATAAATAGGAAAAATCATTTGAATCAATGAGAGAAACAAAAACTACAGTGTGTACCAACACCACCAACGATATTTCCCAAAGCTTCCCCCTCTCTATGAACATGAATTACCCAAGTTGTTGCATCAGAGCTTATGTGTTTTTTTTTAACTTGTTTTAAACTGTAGTGTTGTCTTGTCCTGTAGGGACATGATGGTAAATTAACTAAATGTGAGATTAATTTGCCCCTTTGTTAACCTGTTATGTATTCCATCAGCACTTATGGATAAGTACAGTTTTACAAAACGTGATAGCAGTATAATAAGCATGGTGGCTGTACAAGAACTATTAAATTACATGGAAGATGTATTCTACCTTTTCAGGACAGTAGAACAAATTGGTAGGCTGACTCAGCCACACTGACTTTGCCAAAGTTTTCAGGGCATTTGTTGTCTATGTGTGGGCTGGCTATGGGTTGTTTGTTGGCCAAATTTGGTTACGTGCAAAATTCCAAAACAAAACAAACAAACAAACAAAAAACATAGTTTATAAGTAGTTACCTTGGCTAGTGCCAGCAGAGCCAGTATGCAAAATCCCAGAGCCAATATCTTCATGGTGGAGAGCCAAGAGGAGGAAAGATGCACCAGAAATATTCCTGAAAATGTCCTGTTGCACAGACGGCAGGCTGATGTGTTTTAGTGCAGTGTAAGCTCCCTCACCGTGACCTGGTCTACTCCTACTTTCCTCTGGGGAAACTGAGATGAAACTTTTTGTTCTTGCTTTTATACAAAAATATCACGTTTCAGGAGGGGTAGGTGTAAATTGATGACGTACAGAAGGGTATGACCTGGCCCTGGATCCAGGAAGTTGGTTTAGAGATGCATGTGAGATATAAATGTGTGAGTGAACACTCGAGTTGCTTCACAGTTGTTGTTTTTTTATGACATCTCTCAGTTATAAGGAAGGATGAATTCTTATAATAAGCAAACCCCTTTCGCCAACCCCCCTTTTCCTGACCCCAAACTCAAATTCATACTCACTGTGAATTTTAGAACATGTGGCAACTTTAGGAAACATTATATATTCAATATATTCTAGTTTTTTGTTGGCTAACAATAATGGGAAATATTCCACTTCCTCGCTTTGATGTTGACAGCTGGTTTAATTTTTAACTGTAAACAAATGTGTCTAAAGGCTTTTGTATTACACTTCCCTGTACTGATGTTATTATTAGACATTCATTGGTGCAGTTACGATGCATAAGCTGAAGCAGTTAGATGAATCATAAAGGGACAATTCTTCATGCTTCCTCCTTCCCCCTGGTGGATAATTGACAAACTGATAAACAAATAGGTTACCTTATTTCATCATGTGAGACGGTGTAAGTTACAGTATAAAGGTCACTGTCACAACTTTATTCACAGAAAATCCTCAAGGCTTTTATTTGACTTTTTTTCTGCTTTAGCAAAGCTAATAATAGCATAGGGTTCATCAGCCAGCTGGAGCCTCCAGTGGGAGCAGTAGCACAAAGGCATGAATGACACTTTTGTGATATAGTGATACCATCTTTGCCACTGCACTTGCTGACTCACTTGAGCATCATTCATGCTTGTGTCCCCTTTTATTCCGTTCTTCTGTCATGGACTTAATGGGCCATCTTATTGCACAAAGTGTGGTAATAGAATTTAAATTTGCTACTGAGTCGATATGGAAACTAGTCCTACCTGAGAAATCTAAAATTGATTTTAGGGCAAATATGAGAAGAGTTGAGGTGTTAAAGTTTGGCTGTAGTCCAATATTTGGGTGTTGGCTCGGTATTAATATCAAATTGTCCTCATAACGCACAACAGAAGCTTGTGTGGAGCCTCCCTCTTCCAAAGAATCTTTCTTTCTGAGCTTTTTCATCAGATATAACTTTGACATAATACCTCGAATGATTACTGTCTGTAGTGTGCCATGGCAACAGAAACTGAGATCTGGTATGTCATATTTTGTAAGCTTTGTTTTTACTGTCTTTGATTTAAAACTATAGATAGATTTTTTTTTTTTTTACATTTATTTATTGCTATTTTTATATGTATTTTTTGTTTTAAATTTATTTATATGTTACATAACTAAATGTAAATACAACTGCTACATATTAATAATGAAGACCCATTTTTTAAAAAATATTTTTCACTCTGTTTATTCAATGTTAAAATTTTGGACACATTCAGAATAAGCAATTACTTATACTAATGTACAATAATTACTAACTAACACACACATACAGAAAACAAACCAGTTGCTTCAAAGGTTAACACAACTATAATAGTGTGACGAGTCTATGACAATTTATGCATATCATATTTATAGTATATTTGATTAAATAAACATTTTCACACAGGACAATAAATAGGCCTACAGTATGTACAAAGTGTAAATATGATTTAGGATATGCCAGCCTAAAATACAGCTCAGGCAGCAGCGATCTATTAAAATGCAAACAAACATGCTGAAACTCAAAATGGTTTAAAGGTATCTGCTTTTTCCTCTCATATCAGTGCAGGATCTGATTCAGGATCTGTCAAATTTGTTAGGTGATCAATAAGTTGGCTCGGTCTCTGTGGCTCACTAATTATTTATCAATATCAGTTTTGTTTAACACACACACAGCTGAAAATGTTTCCTCTGTAGGAAATATTCTAACAGTAATGTCAGACTCACTCCAGCTCTGTGCCTGCAGAGGGCGCTCATTGCCAAAGTGCATGAAGAATAAATGATCCAAGCAGCAGACTGACAGAGGTGAAGATGTGGCTCTGTCCGTTCTTTGTAGTCTTGCCAGGTTTGGTTACACTAGTGGGGGTGGCCGTTGGCCTCTGGCTACTGCTGGGTTTGTTTCCTGTTGGTTTGCTGTCTGTGGGTTTGGATCCTGTGGAGCTGGAGCCGGTGGGGTTGGAGCCGGTGGGGTTGGAGTCGGTGGGGTTGGAGCCTGTGGAGTTGGAGCCTGTGGGGTTGGAGCCTGTGGGGTTGGAGCCAGTGGGGTTGGAGCCAGTGGGGTTGGAGCCTGTGGGGTTGGAGCCTGTGGCGGTGTTATTGTATGGCCCGGTTGTATTGGTGGTGCCACTGTATGGCATCGATGTGATTCCCTGTGTTGGAGGTGTGTTGGATGACTGTGTGATGTGTGAAGGACAGAGGAGGAGACAAACAAAGACTGATGACATAACATGGCTTGTATATAACACTGTGGAGCATGATATTATCTATTATATTACAAAAAATACTCGATAAATGAATGTTGAAATTTTGGCATTGGTTTCAAAGACAAAATGCAATAATTAAGACATATACAAGGGCATGATATTAAAAAGTACTGACATTTCACTGCAATAAAATAAAAGTCTTATTGGATTTATTAATTTATTAGATGTTTGTGGTAAAAATGAAGTCCTTTATATCATTATAACAACAAAAGGAGGGTATAAAGTCAGATTTTTTTCTTTTAGATGTAGTTTTTCACTCTTATCTCCTACTGTATCTACTTTGTAGCCAGTGAAGAGGATTTTTACCTGCACACAGACGAATCCCAGCAGAGCCAGCGAAAACAGCCCCAGGACAAGATACTTCATGTTGGATAAGAGATGATTTCCTCTTGAGGACAAACAGACAGCTGAAGATATCTTACTAAAGCCTCACTGTTTTTAACGACTATTCAGTCTTTTCTTTTCTTTTCAAGGTCTTGCCGGGTCATACACACTTGTGTATCCTTGCCGAGAGTTTTGTAAAATGTGTTTTTTTCCACAGGCTGGCCTTTTATAAGGCATTCAGATTTTTCACCTGATACCTGTATTCATTCAGGAAGCCCTGCTTCAGTCTCCACCCCGGCTATGGACCACAAATGCAAAACCTCACACTGAGCCAATTGAAATCAGTCCAGATATGGATGTAAGAGATACTTGTCTCTGCTGTCTTTGTTCAGCAAAGTGCCTTAAGCCTCTTACAGTAACTGCAGCTATTTTTATCCTTCAGTGGCTGTGATTGTCCATAAAATCTAATTAGATGCTCGTTGGTTATTACTTAAAGACAGGTAATATTTTACAAGGCCTCACCTTGTTGAATGAAGTAAAATAAAGTAGAAATCCTCATATAGATTGCCTTGTGAGATGCTCCTCTTTGAAGCAGCCTTGGAGATCATTATCCCAGTGAAAATATGCGTTACTCTAAAGTTAAATTAAACATACAGCTGACAGCAATGCTCAGTAATTGTGCTATGATTCATACATCTGTTACAGCATTTAAACACACTCTGGGTGCTCAAACAGACAAATTTATCAAACTTAAAGGTCCGGTGTGTAGGATTTAGGAATATATATATTGGCAAAAATGAGATATAACATAAAAAGTATGTTTTCTTTTACATAAAAATTATTGTGTTTGCATTACCTTAGAAGGAGCCGTTTATATCTAGGGACAGGTCCTCCTTGCGCTGCCTTGTTTCTACAATTGCCTAGAATGGTCAAACCAAACACTGGCTCTAGATACAGTCATTCATGTTTTGCGCCAGCCACCATAGTTAGCAGCCCCTCTGTGCCCAGAGCATTGTTAAAACACCAACTTTTTAGAGTGAAACTGCTTTATTGAGCGTTTTCCCTGGTTTTAATTAACAGGGCTGTTGGTTTGAGAGAGGAGGAGACCTGGTGAAAACGCCCTGAACATCTGGATCAGAAGAAAGTTGTGCTAGGCTAGCAGCCCATCTGTGTCGTGACAAACACTGATTTGTAACATCAAGCTGCTTTATACAGTGTTTTTACCAGTTATAATCACCGGGTCCGTTTGTTTTGAAAAGGAAGAGACCTCTGCAGATAATTTGGCTCCCAGTAAAGACCTTGGTGAAATTCTAACTAGGAGAGGTTTCAGCTGGTTGCAGTCTGCAATCATCACCACTAGATTCCACTAAATCCCCGGAAGTCTTACACACTGTTCCTTTAAACAGTTCGCTAATTACCTTACTACCGTAACCATTTCCCTGTTGTTTTAAATTTGATACATATTTAACTGTAAGTTAGTTTCAAATTGAATTGCTTTTAAATTCCCCACTTAATCATCCAAGAATATAAATCATCCTTCCAACCTGAAATATATATTATCCCAAAAAGATTTGCCAGAGTTTTGGCCAGGTCTGCTTATCATCTTTCATACACAACCTTGCATTTGCTTTACTCGACCCACAACTTAAGACACACGTCCACATCCATCAGTTTGCAGTGATTATACAGATAAACTGACATTAACTGCTGTCACGTCCTAAGAGCGCATGAACAGAGTCATGAGGGAAAAACAAAACCACCAAAGGTTGTTCCAGACAAACAGCCTGAATTTGAATGTGAAGCTGTTTGAATACAATGGGCCTTTTTTCTTATATTAAAGCAAAATGCAAATGTTATGGCAGCCGCAACTCTTCCGTGTCCATCAGTCTGTAGGACTAACCCAGCTCTGTTCCTATACCATTTTCCTCCAAGTTACTAATGTTTTTCACTTTGAAAAATAAAATACATTTACTGCAGAATCCAGTGTCAATTCAATTATCATTTTATTTGCCAAAACATCCAAAGAAATGTCAAATCCTTTGTTTATGTTCACTGTGTGATTCACATCTGAAGCATTGCATTATACATTATTTATTGAGATAGTGTGGAGCAGTCTTGATCAAAAGCGGAAAAGAGTTCAGTGCAAACAAAGCATTTCATAGCCCTAATATGATATAAGAGTCACTGTAAGAGCCATTAGATAAGAGGCTCTGTCAAAAATCCCATATTTCTTTTGAAGAGTGGTGATTTTTTTAGTTTTACACCTTCAGCCCAATACACCACAGAGCAGGACAGAGATGGCAGGCACCAGTAGTTGACTGCAGGGCCCGAACAAGGAGGAAGATGTTGCAGCTGATGTTGTAGGACGAGTTGTCCCAGCTGGTGGCGTCGACTTTGCGGGGTGCTGTGAAGAAGTGTTTTTAGCCGTGGTGCGTGAGGAGACAGCTGAGGTGAAGGAAGTGGAAGGTGGCGTTTTGGTTGCATTGTTGTGGTTGTTGGTGGTTACATGAGTAGAGGTGTGACCGGGCAGTGGTGTGGTTGCCGCTGCAGGTTGGGTGGTACCAGTTGGTTTGGTGTTGTTGCTGGTCATTGTTGCATTTGTGCAGGAGCCACAGGGTGTTACAGGAACCTCCTGTAAAAAGAAAGCAACAGTTTCAATGCAAAAGAGATGTGATCAATCCAGAGTCACTTTCTATTTTTAAAAAAAATCAGTGCCAAGTATAATATGGGTCAGTTCATTATAATAAAACAACATATAACCTCATTTGAATCTAGTGCTACCTAGCCATGCAGGTTTTGTTTGCACAGGTCCTGAGATAGGCATCTTGCTCATTTGCACCTGCAGCAGCAATGTCCCAGTTACTCCACACAACTCACACTGTGAACAGTTATTATAGGGACTATTTCTTTGGTAGGCTATAAAGTTACGTTCAGCGAAACCTGAAACTCTCAGTGACCTCTATAAGTTGTCCTGGGTAACTGGGTCATTGCTAAAGGAATACTGCAACATTTCAGAAACACTTTTTATATATTTACTTTTAAGAATGACAAGATAGGATGAATAGTAATCTCACGTCTGTGTGTCACACTCCAACACAGTCTGGTGTTGGACACAAAATGTGTTGAAATTATGTGCTGGCAAGTGTTGTAAACCTAAGTATTTTGCGTAGTTGCGTAAAATACCCATGTAAGGTAGTACTGCAAAGTCCAGAAAGTCACATAACTACGTTGACTTTGGGTTTCACATGGGACATGGACAGCAATCTCCTGGTTAAAAAGTCCTGGTTCAAATATGCACACGATCTTTTAACAACACATTATGTTGTGGCGGTCATGAAATGTGTTAAACTTACATGTTGGCAACACGGAAACAATGCCCTTGCAAAGTCTGTTACAAATGGTCGCAGTTTCATTGTAAAAGCTAACAGTTTGGTTACATTTAGAGAAAGAAGAAAGAAGAAAAAAATACTTTGTTAAGTTTGGGAAAGGTTATTGTTTTGGTTAAAATAACTACGTACGGGGCATATGTGTAAACTTATGTACATTGTGCAATTATGTAAACTACCTAAGTAAAGTACTAAGGTCATTACGTAATGTCCATAAAGCCACATAACTACATGGTTTCACACAGGACACAAACTCATGGTCTCATGGTCAAAGTCCACATTTGTTTGACCCATCCACCACCCCTTCCGCCCAACGTGAATTTTCTCACTCTTTATTCTTAACTTGTGTGTCCACCATGGCAAAAGATTGTCATCAACGTACTGACATTGTTTTCGTCTTGCCTGCATGTAATTTTAACACATTTTGTGCCCACCACCACACAATGCGTTGTTAAGACTTTGTGTCCATTTTATATATTTCTTTGAGACAGGATGTGTTCAGTGAAGGCTTAGCATGAAGACTGGAGGCGCGGCACTGTCTCAAGTGGAAAAAATACACCAATCAACACCTCTAAAGCTGTCTAATTTACACCTTGCATCTATGTTTAACTCATACATGAACAGAAATGTAAAAACAACAATTTGTGATTTTAGTGGGAGCTCTATGCTGGAGCTCCTTCTTTATATGCAAAACTCTTTCCGTCTGCTTTGCACTTCTGTGCAGCATCTTCTGCTGTAGTGCAGGTTGCCAGATATGGAGTGTGCACAGGTTTTGATGTTGGTTCCTAAACAGGAACAATGACACCAAACCATGCAACCTCATTGTGGCAAGAAGACAAGAAGGAAGCTACGCACTGTAACTGTGCCCAGAAATAAACAAGAAATAGCTCCAGCACGTAACTTCCCCTAAAACCACAAATTGTCTTTGATAAACTATGCTAACAGACATGAAATTGATACTGACCTACATTTAACTCTTCCCAAAATGTAGTTTATTTAGTGTCATGAGCCCAAAATGTAAATTCCTTCACTGCACAAACCATCTCCATGACTAAATACCAATATAACTAAATGTGAAAACATGTATCTTTGGTGAACAAACCCATATAGACACAAAAATGAATGATTAAAACCTTAAAAAAGGAATTCAGAGTACAGATGATACTACTAATCATCATTATAATAACAGTAAGATAAATTATATTCCTGCCTGTCACACTTATCACTGGACTTAACTGTCTTTTGAACCTATTTCACTCAACTGTTGTTTTCCTCCCTGTATTACGCTGTCAGTTGCCATAGATAAAGCTGCTGTGTCCCTGTGTTGCGGACAATTCATTCACAGCCACACCATGCAAAGGTCAAGCACCTGATGCTCCAGGTGAGTACATGAAGCATGAAAATATTAACCACACTTTGCATATTGCTGCTGGTTGGTGGAGGCCTGCAGCACATCTCTTCCCACAACACAAGTGTCTCCTGACTGCGCCAAAATCTGTCTCTTTGTTGTATGTCATCTCCCCTGTAGTCCAGACCTACGCTTTATTTTTCATGACAGGTCATATCTAGTTCATCTGGAAACAGGAGCTGACACCAAATAGCTCCCTCCAACAAAAGAAAGAATTAGTGAAATAAAGTAGGTCTAATTTATTCAGTTTCGCAGAATTATAGCAGCCGAGGAGCTATAAATAAATTTCCTGGTCATAATTATGCAGAAGTGGAACAGATGAAATTAAACATTACAAGTTTGATAACACTGGAGTTGTACAAAAAGTGTATTCAGCTAAGTACATTGTAAACTAATTAAATTTAATGAGCCAATTTGTTTCATGTATAAGGTTTTGTTAAACACAAAATGACTAAAAAAGAAACAAACCAACAACTATTAATCCAATATCAGTAGGAAGTCCTTAAAGTGTTCAGAAAATTTGATATGTAAATAAGAAATATGGGATGATCTTGTAATGACCACTGTTTACAAGGTCAAAAAAACATATTGTTTTTGTCCTCATTATCTCATCTATTTAATTCCTCTCCGTTAAGTGTTGTTTGCAACACAGATCCTTTGCTTTAAAATAGAAAAATCCAAACTTGTTGTGCCAAAAAAGCAATCTCAGTTCCTCTGTTTACCTCCATTTGCCTAGACTGTGAGATGCATTTAAATGCTTCATTTACCTCTCACTGATTTGACTGTGGCTACACTTAAGCCAGAAAAACAAAAGTCAGCTGTGCTTTGAGCTGGAAAATCTAATAAATCAGCTGTCCAACCAGTGTCCACTCATCAGAGACGTTGAACTGTTTGGCGATCACAGCCCTCTGGATGTGGACACAAAATCCACTCTTTTGCACGAGGTATCCGAAGTGTCCCTTACCTCAGTGCAGCCCAGTAACATGAAAGTCAAAAAGACAGAGAGGACAAGCATCTTTGTTTTCTCCATCTTGGTCTTCAGCTGTACTTTACAGCTGACCCCACCTCTCTGTGAGTCCTTTTATACCTGCCGGCTCTCCACAACCCTGATACTGATAACTGTTAGTCCTCAGAGAGAGGAGGGAGAGAGAAAAATCATGTATTGTACTCTGGAGCATAAAAAAGCATGCACTCTACTCTGGAACATTTCCAAATTGACCTGAAGTATTAATGCTAAGAGAGAGCCGACAAGAAATGTGATATGTAAATAAGAAATATGGGATGAGAGAAAGGCTTGTGAGTAAATCTTACAATGTATTTTGTCAAAAGTAGTTCATACTGAATGTCTGTTTTAAAGCTAGGGTTACATTTTGCTTGCCGGTCCAACCCTGGAGACTTCAGCACACTCATGATGTGATGCCAAGGGGTTTTGGGAACCATGGACTGTCCCACATCATACAGTAGTGCCACATTACAGGGAATATTACATTACCACATTTTATTCTTGTTTAACTAGATTGTCCAAATTGGTGTTTAAAACAGGATTGGGTGTGCTCAACTTTATTTTTTAGTAGTAGCCCTGAATCCAGCCTGTGGCCCTTTTGCTGCATGACATCCTCTCTCTCTCTCCCCCCTTCACACTTGTCCATTAAAGGCAAAATGGCCCAAAAAAAAATTTGCTGGGCTTAAAGTGGCTAAAATCAATATTTTAATAAATTTAAAATATTCAATTTAGTTTTTGGCCCTTTTTTGTTCACTCACAGCTCCCATAGTGTAGTTTTTGAACCACAGCGGGTATTTTTTAATGTCTCCTCATGCAACCATTTATAAAAGATCTTGTGAAAATACACAAACAACAGTTAATATGATCTCCAACAAATTAACATCCCACAAATGGCAACGTCATGTTATGTACTCAATGTAAAGTTGGGCAAGGTTCAGGCAAGTAAAGCTGAACAGGTTGGCTTTAGGAAAGTAAAGTTTTGTAGGTTAGGTATAGGCAAGTACAGTTATGCAGATTAGGCTTAGGAAAGTATAGTTACATAGGTAAGGAATAGGAAAGAAAAGGTACTTACTAGCATAGGCAAGTAAAGTAACAAAGACTAGGTTTAGGCAAGTAAAGTTACGTAGGTTATGTTTAGGCAAGTAAAGTTACGTAGGTTAGGTTTAGGTAAGTAAAGTAACAGGCTAGGTTTAGGCAAGTAAAGTTACATAGGTAAGGTATAGGAAAGTAAAGGTACTTACTAGCTTAGGCAAGTAAAGTAACAAAGGCTAGGTTTAGGCAAATAAAGTTATGTAGGTTAGGTTTAGGCAAGTAAAGTTACGTAGGTTAGGTTTAGGGAAGTAAAGTTATGTAGGTTAGGTTTAGGCAAGTACAGTTACGTAGGTTAGGTCTAGGCAAGTAAAGTTAGGGGGGTTAGGATTTGGCAAGTAAAGTTACCTTAGTTAGGTTTAGGCAAGTAAAGTTACGTAGGTTAGGTCTAGGGAAGTAAAGTTACATAGGTTAGGTTTCGGCAAGTAAAGTAATGAAGGCTAGGTTTAGGCAAGTAAAATAACAAAGGTTAGGTTTAGGCAAATAAAGTTACGTAGCTTAGGTTTAGGGAAGTAAAGTTACGTAGGATAGGTTTACGCAAGTAATGGTACGTTGGTTAGGTCTAGGCAAGTAAAGTTACCTAGGCTAGGTTTAGGCACGTAAAGTTACATAGGTCAGGTTTAGGCAAGTAAAATAACAAAGGTTAGGTTTAGGCAAGTAAAGTTACGTAGGCTAGGTTTAAGCGAGTAAAGTTACAAAGGTTAGGTCTAGGCAAGTAAACCAAGTACAGTTATATAGTTTAGGTTAAGGAAAAGAAACATAGTGAAGATGTACCTTAAAATAACTTCAAGTTTACTTGGTTTCACATGGGACACAAACACTAGTCTCCTGGAGGAAAACCCAGTGTTTGATTGATCCATCCACCATCTCTATCTGCTTCCTTATGTGGATTTTTGCTCTTTATATTACCTTCTTCTTTACTCCTGCCAATGTGTTGGTCATGCGATCGTAGCCTTAGTTAGTGATAATTAATGGACTAGTTACAGTGATTTTTAAGGGCTCGAGCCAGAAGAGCTAAAACCCTATTGCATTGTTTGGAAGTTGTGTGCAAATAAAATCCAAGAAGTATGACCTCAATGAACCTGATAAGGCTGCTATAACTAAAGGTCAGCAAAGGCTTGTGTGTTTAACTTTTACGCTGTATTTTGTCAAAAGTAGATTGCACTACATGTCTACTCTAAAGCTTGGGTTACATCTGATTTTACCTCAGACAAATTACTTCTCAGTTAAACCCTGGAGGTTAAAGCACGTTAGTTAAATGATGCCAGAGGGCTATGGACACCAGGGACTGTCCTCCATCGTACAGTAGTGCCATATTACAAGAAATATTGTGTTACTAAGTTTTAAGTTGACCTGAGATGAAACTGAAAAACTAAGGTAATTTCACTGAGTTAATGATAACAAGGTAGTTAATATGATTTTATTGATAGTGAAGTTTTACAGCCTAGAGGAGTCTGTTAGAAAGTAAATATGGCGTAATCTCACTTTATAATGAATCACACATTAAACATGATAACTTATCAGGACTTAATTGCTTATGTGGAAAAGATTAACTTGGTTTGTTGGCCCTGCTGCAGTTGGTTTTTACTGTAATACTGAATATTATATTTATATTTTATTTTCTACTTTCCTTATTTTTGCAAAGACTACAGGTCAGCATCTGTACAGTGCATTTGGATGAAAACAGAAACTTATCTGTTTTCTCTTCATATTTACCTTTTTACTTTCGACCAAGCACATATTAACTCGAGTAAAGGAAAGTCAACTGAGGAGAGGTGATCTAATTCACCCTAAAATGGAATGTAACCACAGAAACCCGTCACCAAAGAAGACTTGTAGGGTTTCTCTGATAACGCAAGAATTCCACTCTGCTTACTTCTTCATTTTTCCACCTCAGTGAACATGATTCTGATTAAAAATTTAGGAATAAAGCACGTCTGATTTCACCTTGCCTGTTCACTAGCAGCTGATCTGTTGAAGCAAGCAGAGTGGAATGTGCCTCTGTGATGTTTAGTTTTTGATATCGTGTTGGTACAAAAATACTTGAGGCAAAACTGGCACCTTATCAGTCTCTAGGAAACAACGAAATGATGTGACGGCCTCATTGCACTCATGCATGAAATAATGAGAACATATTGGTATGGCAAGTAGTGTAATGGTAGTTGACAAGGTGGGTATACTACTAGGTAGATGGGTAGGTTACCAAGGAGGAAGTGGGTATACTCTCCTACATACATACATATTCCAACAGCTTTTTGGCTGATAGGTTGGTAGATAGATAGATACCCAGAAGAGGTGGGTATATGTGGTATATCTGCGTATATCATGGCCTTGCCACACTGATACAACTGCTGCGCCCTAGGAACATGCAAATAGCAGAAGGAAGGGAGAATGCTGGCCAAAATCTGTGGCCCAATGGCAGGCTTATAGCCAGAGTCTACATCTGGGGAGTCAGACTAGTACCAACCATGTCAGCATAGCTTGCCGGGAAAGGATCTAAACAACGATCCAAAGTTGGCGAGGGAACAACTGCCATGGCCATTTTCGAAGGAGGTATAAGTCTATGCATATCAGATAATTAGTAGGCCAAATATTAACGGTAACATAAGAAACCAAAGTGTATCAGTAAGTGATTCCTTAACTGTCCATACTGACATAGTTTTCAACTAGCTTATATACTAATCAACTTAATTTTCTTTATTTGTCAATCCACACAATCAGGCACTTAGCAGCTGAAATGTACCTCTTTGTGTATCTCTCTCTTACATAGACACCACACGCATGCTTTAAACAAGGGGGGCAGCACAGGGTCAGCCAGCGTACGGCACCTCTGGAGGCATCTCAGGGTTTAGTGCCTTGTTCAGTGCCCAGGAGGCGAATTGGCACCTCTCCAGCTGCCAGTCCACACTCAATACTTAGTTGATACGGGGACTTGAACCAGTGACCCTCCAGTATCCAAACAAATCCCAACGGACTAAGCTACTGCCATGTACAACAGCATAACAGAATTCCTGACTTTCAGTCATAGCTTTTGGTTTTGGTGTGCCACCACAAGATTTTAAGTGGCCCCACACCTGGCCAGTCCTATGAAAGATTTCTCGGGCCTCCACTGGATACAGGTGTTCTTAGTTTTAATCTTGACCAAACAGTGTGCACCAGCTTGTACCTTTGTTAAATACAGTTTATGTTCCTATAAAACTTCAACTTATCTATTTTAAGGAAAAGTAAACACACAGCCCTTCTCATTTTGATTTTACTGGGTTAAAGATGACACAGGGACAGGTGTGACAGAGAGGCTTCAAGTGATAAATTATACAGTTCTCACCAGGACCTTGCTGGCATAAGTTATTTAAAGATCAAGACTAATACAGTGCACAAATGCAACCCACAAAATCCCCTGACTACTTAAAACAGACTTCTCTCTGATCATCAGCCTCAAGGGCAGAGAAGGAAACAAACTTGACGGTGTAACAGGTTATTCTTGTAGCTATGAGCCAAGCCTTTGTTGTACTTTATCAGCAGTGTTATCACGCTGCATATTTCCTGGTATCAGATATTTCAATGCCTCTTTCAGATTAACCCAATGCCACTGTCATCAGTGCTACTGCGTATTTCATTTACGACATGTTTTTCTGCATATCTGTTTGTAGGATTAGCTCAGAATCAATTCCTGGAGGCACTTGTCTTGCTCTGATATCAAACATGTTATTGACCCCTTTTGTGTTACAGGAAAGACACTGATTTCATTAAGCAATATTTTATTGCCTTGGTGGGTTTGTGGAATTCAGCCATAAAGATGACAGAAGGACGAGAGGTCTCGTTAACATTTCATTTGATGTTCAGAAAGACAATCACGTTCATATAAAAATTCAGAATTGCAAAACTTTGGAGTGCATTGCTGCAACAATGAGCAATGGATGATGTAAGAGTAAAAGGCGAGCATGAA